ATATCATTTTAATAATTACCGATTGCACAAAAATATTACAGAAGGATAATTTGCTATATTTTCTATATTTTTGCCTTTTTTGGAATTAGGACTGAAAGAAGCTGAATGAAATTACAAACTATGTAGTGTGTTCAACAACTCATGTATGAACAATAACTTCAATAAATATGATTTTACTCGGTAAAAATACTCTGCATAATTGTCTGCATAAAAACGAAAGAATTTCACAATGTCGAACGGAAAGTCTTCATCGTAGTGTTCCTACAGTTGTCGTGTCGTTTTCGATATTGATTCGCTGCCACGAAAATAACACGTGTTAAATTTGTTTGATTACATGAAATTCGAACGCACCCTGTGTGGGACAGTAATGCGTGCCTTGTTGAATACGCAGAACTCTCTTGTTCAGCATCCCCGCCCATCCCACGGGGGGAGGGGCAATACATAGAAATTGCCTAATGGAGACGTGCCCCTGAAACGGGACTCGTTTTTTGGATTGTAGGTATAAGTATCGGCCTTATTTCTGGTCAAGATAGATTTGGTATACTTAAGTGTTTCTATGGTCAAAATACATATTTTAATAAATCAATATACAAACTGTTGTCTTGCATGTGCTTACATTTTCTATTGGAGATGCTCTTCTAATAGAGCAAGTACGGTAACTGTTTTATTTGGAATAAACAGTGATGACAGAAATAGTACTTTGGTATAAATATGGGTATAGATTTTGCCACTATCCAGGTATAAAAATGGTCACACTTTTGAGCACTCGGGGGCACCTCCCTACCCAGCTATGTATCAACTGCCCCCGGGGCCATCCCGCACATACACGGCACGTGGCCAGACTACCATGTTTCCCCCTTCTACCCTTGTAATCGACGACGTGGGTAGACGTCAATTGCTATAATTATCCCATTTCATGGTCGTAACAAATGAGCTGTTACATTAACTATGTAAATACGTCATCGTACATACATCTTCGTTGTTTTCCGCTAGGTCGGCATGTGACGTAGTCCTCACCCACCCACGTGACTAATGACGTACAAATTATTGAAAAACGCTATCATACCATAACTGTTTATGCTTTAGTAAGCACGTTGATAGAGGGACTTAGCGTTAGAGTATATTGATATGTCAACGGTAACTGGTCCATGTAATTAGTGCCGGGATTTAATAACATCAATCGCATGTAACGAGTTCACGGCGAATTTAACAGTTTAAACTAGCGAGCTAGGCATTGTGGTCTCAATTTCTTGTGCTTCGTGACGCTATTCATGACGCAGTACTGTATTGTGATACCGATTATGGCGGCCCTATTTTCACACTCAGTTTTATGACGAGGGTGGACAGGCAAAATCGTCATGGGACTGTGCATAAAATCATGACCTCAGGTCATTCATTCAAACGTGGTAAATGTAAAGTCAATACAATAGCTACTCGCAAGGAGCTCAAGTTTGCTGTCAATTTTCACAGAAGGCACAGATATACAAGCCAAACAATAATCAGGCCATGAAAAAAATACGACCTCCCTTACGGAATGAGCAATTAGGACGATCTCCGTTATCCCGGATTTTGGGCCCACCCCTGGTTACAAAACTAACGTGTCCCTACAAATATCAATCCGTAGTAGTCGTTGGGGGCGCTTGAATATTTACAGTGTAGCGGACAAGCATTGGCATTATCAAGACACATACCCAGTGTAGTGAAAGAAATGCGGCAGGGAATGCTCTGCGAAAACAAAGTGGTACCACTAAATGTCACATTTTCCAATTGCACGAATATCGCCTAAACAACAACTAATTAGATGGGGATTATGGACAGTCGGTTTTGAATACATGTTGAGGTATAGTTTGAATAAATGTTGAGGTATAGTTTGAATACCCACAGAGGTATGATTTGAATACATGTTGAGGTATGGTTTGAATATATGTTGAGGTATGGTTTGAATACATGTCGAATATGGTTCGAATACTTGAAGAGGTATAGTTTGAATACATGTTGAGGTATGGTTTGAATATATGTTGAGGTATGGTTTGAATACATGTTGAGGTATGGTTTGAATATATGTTGAGGTATGATTTGAATACATGTCGAGGTATGGTTCGAATACTTGAAAAGGTATAGTTTGAATACATGTTGAGGTATAGTTTGAATACCTGCAGAGGTATAGTTTGAATACTTGTTGAGGTATAGTTTGAATACATGTTGAGGTATGGTTTGAATACGTGTCGAGGTATGGTTCGAATACTTGAAGAGGTATAGTTTGAATACATGTTGAGGTATAGTTTGAATACATGTTGAGGTATAGTTTGAATACATGTTGAGGTATAGTTTGAATACATGTTGAGGTATAGTTTGAATACCTGCAGAGGTATAGTTTGAATACTTGTTGAGGTATAGTTTGAATACATGTTGAGGTGTGGTTTGAATACATGTCGAGGTATGGTTCGAATACTTGAAGAGGTATAGTTTGAATACATGTTGAGGTATAGTTTGAATACATGTTGAGGTATAGTTTGAATACATGTTGAAGTATGGTTTGAATATAAAAAAACGTAGTCAAAATATAGCACTATTTGTTTGCATAAATGAAAAACATAGTGCGCATGCGCTTTGTGTACGTATGGGAAATCCAGGCGCATGTTTATTTGCGTTTCTATTATTCCATTCAACGGATACTGCTATGTTTACTGCTTGTTAAGATACATCGTATCACAGGTATAGATAAAATATCAAACATATTTATTTCAACATGCTTTAAAATACTCAAAGGTTTTCATTTTGCCTCTTTGAAAAACTTTAGGTAGGTATGAATGAGTACACATACGTGATTGTACATTTCACTTTGATTGTGCCCGTGACGCTCATTGAAGATTTTTTTTAATAAACAATAGCTATTTCTTCAGTATATGCCGAAAGCGTTGGCGTATACTGATACACTTATCTATATTCTAATAACGCTAAACCTCTAATTATTCTGCGTTAGATTTCGGTTCAATCGGATTTCCCGTGGTCTTTACTGTTATTAAGTCTGATGAGAGATGCATTTCGTATATGTCAGAGCTGTCTAGGTTGCGTGGGAGGGCGCGTGTGTATATTTGCATATGGTGTCTCTTTTATCTCACTGTGTTAATTCAGCTGAAGAGGAAGAAGGAAAATCGACGTTATGACGTCATTGCGTTTGTGATTAGATGCAGTTACATGTGTGTGTGTTAAATAAATGCAAGAATGTGTTTGCTTTCACCGTGTGATGTCATCGTAGATCGTATATAAATGATCGATCTGCAAAAAGTGTCGTGTATACTCGTCAGACTTCTGTCACGTGGTCGTATAAGTTGCACCCTCTCACCGATTATTTTAAGTCAGTGGTCGGGTCCAGGAAAAAGTTGAATGGATATCTTCCGCCAAAAGTAAATAACAATATATTGTTGGGAGGATACTACGTTTTAAAATCTCCGTCAAATTAAAGAACGGCAGTCGTCGTGCCGCGTCCTGTTCGAAATGGGACTCATAGCGACGTATACAACGCGTGTAAAATACATTGTTTATTTACATGAAATCAGAACACGCGCTGCGCGACGACCACTGCGCTTTAAGTTTACTCCAACGTCTCCCATAACGAGAGTTATATTTCATAATGATAATATTTGTTCAAGATCAAGACAAGATCAAATTTGTTTTCCGGTGCCAATGGCTGGCTTAATTGAATTAAGACCGTTGCCAAGTATATGCTATAATATTATCGACCACCACCGTATCGTGGTCTCAGAAGTTAGAATAGGGTCACCGACCACCGTTCTGTACTCTCAGAAGTAGTTAGAATATTGTGTGGCGTTTGCAATACCCCCTTGTGTAAAGTGTGGCGTTTGCAATACCCATTTGTGTAAAGTGTGG